GCAGGCGTTTTGATAGATATCATTAGTCATTTAGCTGACTTCAGGCTTCACAGGGGGAAGGTTCATCAAAGTAGAAGAAAGTTGAGGGGTGGGGAACAGAAGAGCGATTCACAGATGTAAAAGAGGCAGACAGACACAAAGGTAGAGAAAAAGGTAAGATGAGTATTGTGGTAGGGGTCGAATATGACATACAGTGGGGGTGATGGTAGTTAGGAGTCAGAAGTCAACTGCCGGTAAATAGACTTTTTGCCGTATGAGTATACGTTGCCCTGGTGCACCACGTGGAGGTAAGTCTATCGCACACCCCAAATTGGTAGACGTTGTTTCATAAATGCAATGTGATTTCTTCCCGCTAGAGGCGCATTCATATTCATCCAACGCATAGCCAATTACTTTATGCGATTTATTACGATGCTACGGTAACAATAGGAGTTAACGTCGTGAACAATTCATCATTTTTCTAGGATGGGCGCAAGGGTTAATTGTCTTGAGAAATGCGAGTAAGGTACGCAAACCTTTGTTCAATGATTCATATCTGGCACAGGGGTAATGAGGTTCTTCGTCGCTTACTGCTTGTGTTCGTCCTCGTGTGATTGGCGTCAGCTGGGAAATGTCGCAAAAAACGTGTAAATTGTGCTGGTGGCTATCAATTTTCCAAAAATAGAAGAAGCAGAAGAGGGCGTAGCTATGGGAATGAACTTGGAGTCAATATATTGGACGCATGCTTTTTTTAGATTTAGTCGTAAGCCTCGGTGTGCATCCTTCTGTTGTTGTCTGCAGCTAATGAGCGCACATTTTGTCATTCAAGGAAGGTTATATATCGTGGAATTGTTTTAGAAAATGTTTTTTTTGCAAATTACCGACTTACTTACCTCTGTGCCTCATCTTTGATGGCATTATTGCAACTGTGTTCACCGCTGTTACTCCTCTGTCTAAAAGATGACCTAGTCTAACCTTTGTTTTCCACTTTTAGTTTAAGCGGTCTCTCTCTCCCTCTCTCGTAACTTAATATGTGATTTTCTACTGCTTCCTTTCTTTTAATCCTTTTTTACCCCCCCCCCTCCCCCAATATTGTTTTACCATATCCTGTTTGAATTACAGCATCGTTTTTATCCTTGGCGTTGTCGTCTCCACTATTTGTCCCACGCAAAGTGACATTGACATCGTGCTTTTTCCTCTTGTTGACACAGGCTCGAGAAGCCGGTTTCCTAGATGTTCTATTGCAGCAAACACAAGTGTTCTCATTCAAAGAGGCCTCTCATTTGGCCACTTTCCTTGCGAAGCAATCCCCCCCCCCTCCCCTAATCTTGCCTGACGTCATACGCGTAAAATGCGTATGCGGGGGTAATCAACCTCAACGTGGTAATATCGTGTTGGCGGCCTCTTTGCCTCTTTTCACTTGAAATATGTGCTCACTTACTTAGAGAATAATTCTCCCCCCCCTCCCCTCCTCTCAATTTTATTGGCTATTACACAAGCATCTAGCCATCTATTCAACACTCGTTGATTGGTCAGAAATAGGTCATAGGACTTTTGTTCTCCCTAAGCAGCTTCTGTGATATTATTCTTTCGCACTGCTTCGTCATTCGTCAGTCAAGTCCTTTATACCAAATTTGAATTGGTTCGGTCTCCAAATCACAACGGAATTTGATGGGCTTTACTTGGCTCGAGACTCTCAATGACTCGCATTCGCATACAGAATATGTTGCAGCAAAGTGCCACGAATACTTAATCTAAATGAAATATATATTTGATTTAACATTTAATTAATACTATGACATACTGAAGGTTCAAATTGACACATGACTGCAAGTTCTATTGGTAGGAGAAGTTAATGTCCACTTCAACTGATGCTATCGAAATATCTTTAAATGAGCTTGCTTGGCGTGGAATTTTAAGCCCAGCATTGATGATACTGAGATACACTTCTTGTCCAATATTGTAGAACAAGTCTGCTAAGGACTAGTGATTTCAGGTTACTCTCGGGAAGGGCGTTGGCAGCTAACGACAACTATTTGACATCAGTATGGTTATGGTATAAGGTGACTGCGCCTTGCCTTTTTTACAGACATCTTTTTTTAGCACTACCATACCGAATCGAGGCGTCTGTCTCGATTGTTGTTTTCCATTCCTCTGTGGGCTTATTTTTTCCTTGGCTAAAATGTCAAATGCAAGTGGCATCAGGTTTTGTTGCACGTCAAAATGTGTTTAGTTCTCTCTTGAGGAGAGAACAAAAGAACCGAAATTGAGGCGCCTTTTATTAAATGTCACATAGAAGGCTAAATGTCGAGGTAGGTTTGCGATTACGCAAATATCACTACACTATCGTCCATACTATTGCCATGTCATGCTTTCTTCCTTCTGCAAGCTCTTCCTCTCAAATGGATTTCTTTTCTGGTGGTGACCAATAAATAAGGAGGTTATTGTCTCTTTCTCGGACACTTTTCAGCTTGCTCAATTATTAATGAAATTAGATTATATTCGGCATAGTCAACGGATTTAAATCACTCTTATTAATTTCATTAGTACGGTTTGAGTTTATTAGGAAAGGTTCCGTTTGTTTATTGCCACGTAATTTTTTTCTCATTATTATTATATATCAAATGGCAGACGTTTTGATAGTTATCATTAGCCCTTTAGTTGACTTCAAGCTTAGGCGTTTTGATAGTTATCATTAGCCCTTTAGTTGACTTCAAGCTTCACAGAGGGGAAGGAACATCAAATTGATAAAAGACGAGGTAGAGAAGGTTAGATGAGTCGGGTCATGGTAGTTTGAAGTCAGAAGTCAACTGCCGGTTAATAGACTTTTTTGCCGTATGAGTATACGTTGCCCAGGGTGCACCACGTGGAGGTAAGTCTATTGCTCACCCCATTTTTTTCTCATTGTGACCTCATAATCGAAAATGCGAAAGCAATGCTTTAAATCTTCGGATAAGATTGAAAGTTTTGCTTCTACGCTTTGATTTAGTTATGCTATTATTGCCGTAGTGGCTTTTCGGCAGTGAAAATGTTTAAATACATCAATCATGAATGATTAAAAAAAGATGATCGTGTTTAGTCTCTTTCATTGGCCTTATTGGAAGGGGATACATCAGTTGTTAATAGAGGGAACGTCTAATTTAACATTGTTTAAAGCGAGCTCACTTTGTTCTCATAACGAGCGCAGTTTTAACTATACCTGTTTTTTTGCTCCTGTAGCTTACTTGCCTTCGTCTAATCGAAGGTGTGTCTTCTAGCGCACTTGTGCCCTATGCGGCATCACTGGCTCAGCTCTGCATCGCTTTGCTCACTTTCGATGAGTCGGATATCCTCTCCATGACTGTGGACTCCGAGGAATCAGAAGGCGTACCCGTGGCACCTCCTTATCTCTTCCATTCCACAGACCCACCCGCTCGGTTAGAATATCTCCTTTCACTTCTCGCTCATTGGCTATCCCGAAGGATACTTTTGTTGGCTTCCGAGCAACCTGACAACGATTTTGAAAAGCTTCTGAAGGTGAGTAGTGTGCTTTAAATCTATGAGCATTAGCCATTGACCTATTGTTTGGAAATTTAAATGTGCATCATTGTTCATTAAAAAACTTCCATTATGCAGCACAGTTACTTTGTCCTGTTATTAATTGGAGTATTTTTTTGTATTAGTGTGCCAGGCGTAAAACCTGGAATGGTCAAATCATGATCCCCAATTTGCTAACTTACTGATCTCAATGTCCTTGAAGTTAGAAGTAATGAATTGGCGTTGAATATGTCTATTCTGTCTCCATGTTTTATGACTCACGTTTTACATAGTTATAACAGGAGGGGGGGGGGGGAGGGAGAATAAAGGAGTGATTTTCAAATGTGAAAGAGACAGACAGACACAAAGGTAGAGAAAAGGTAAGGTGAGTACTGTGAAAGTGGTCGAATATGACAAACGGTCGTGTTATGGTAGTTTTTAGTCAGAAGTCAACTGACGATTAACAGACTTTTTTGCCGTATGAGTATATGTTGCCAGGGGTGCCTTACTTCCCCGCAGTAAGTGGCCTATCACTTTAAGTTTGAGTTAGTTGAACTTCCCTTGACATTGTGGAGGTCGGTTCTAATACAGGGTGGAATGGATAGACGCGAGAGAGATCAAATGGGGGAACTTAATAATTCGTTTTGGCTTTATGCCAGTTTGTCTGAGCGGCGTGTCCTACCTCGAAATGTCGATAAAAGTGCTTGAATGTGAGCTTCCCTTCGCAATACTATTTCTCAGTCAAAAAATGAGCTCTGTGACATCATTCGAGACTTATTGGTGACCACTGTAAGAGTATTGGAATATGACTACCTCTTTAAGAAGTGGCTTTTAATCACGTTCTTTTTGAAAATATGGTAATTGATATCCCTATGATTCAAATTCCTCTCTATGTCTCATATCTGAACGAGTTTGTCGATTCTTCTTCATTCTAATGACTAACTCGTTTCATTTAAAAGTACATCTGCACTCATATCTTCCGGTTTATTAGTTCGTGTGATTTGGTAAATCTGCCTACCTCACTCCGTTTTAGGTCCTATTCGGTCAATTGAGGACTTGGTGTCGCAACGGTTTGAGTCTACCTTCTTTAGATGCCATCTCCTCGTGGATACTGGGCGTCTCTAGCGAAAGTGTCACTCATCAGTCTCCTCTTCTTTCTTCCTTCGCGTTGGCATCTTCTCCAGTGGGCGTTCCTCAACCACCTATTCCTCTATCTTCAGCAGTATCACAAGCAGTAAGTGAGAATATTCTTTGTAATCAATAATGCTAATGCAGGTGTGATTGCGTGCACTTTCCGGTTTAATAAAACAAATTCTTTACGAAATTATAAATTTATGGTTCTTTCTAATTAGGTGTTACTTGCTTTGACACGGCTACTTAACTCTGCTAAAGTTCACATTTAATGAAAGAAGTATGTCGATAATTTTAGCTTTTGAGATTTCTGAAACAATTATTTTTGCACAGTGTGTACTTGAAGAATATTTCCTGTTGTCTGCGCGCAGTTGTTAGCAGTTGTTATGAAATTCCGGGCAACGTATTTTCCTCCAATTCTCCTTTGTGGTAGTAGGTGCATGCGCATGGTGGGAGAGGGTGGGTGGGAGGGGGGGGGTGGAAGGGGGTAGAGATACCCGTAGGCATATGCGGAATCAATACCAATGTATGAATTCCTGTGAATAGACGTTGTTACTGGCGTGTCATTTTCGGATGAATAGCCTCCCTGATCTCCTTACTTTCCATAGTGTGCCAATGTTTTAAGATATTTTTTTCTTTGTTCTTTTTTTCGCTTACAAGATTGATCTGAAATCTTCTTTTGCATACTGGTATTGATATTGGCTATTCGGATACCCCCTTTTCCCTTATTGTGAACGCCGGAGAGCGCGGTTTTGGTTTTTGCATATGAGTTTTCACTTGCTGAAAATCTTCTGGGCAACTATTTACAAGATTAGAAAAAGACAATGGGGTATTCGCTTCGAACGAATCAAGATTCAATTCGAAGGCACAACCACCGTCTTTTGTACCTCCAAGGCTAGGAAGGCTATATATTTCATCGGCTTTTGACTTTCTTGTGCTGCCATTTGTTTTTTTAAAGTATTTACTTCAAATGGCAGGCGTTTTGATAGCTATCATTAGCACTTTGGTTGACTTCAGGCTTCACAGAGGAGGAGGAGGAACATCAAAGTGACAAAAAGTCGAGAGGAGTATTCACAGATGTAAAAGTGGGAGATAGACACAAAGGCAGAAAAAAGGTAAGATGAGTACTGTGAAATGGGTTGAATATGACATACAGTGGGGTGATGGTAGTTTGAAGTCAGAAGTCAACTGCCGGTTAATAGACTTTTCTGCCGTATGAGTATACGTTGCCCAGGGTGCACCACGTGGAGGTAAGTCTATGGTTTTTTAAAGTTAGAAAGCCTATTTCTGATCTTTCTGATCTGAAAGACGATGCTTCTGCTTGATTTCACTTTTTTGTTAGTATTAAACTTCACTCTTATTCCCATCCTTTGGCCTGCGATTTAAGTCTTATTACAACTCACCTAGTGCACATCGAATTTTTCGGTTTAAAATCGGCCAATTTTTGTAATAATTTTTCTCATCCATCCTTATTATCTAAAAGCTAGTCTGTACTCTGGATAGATTGCACAAATTCGCTGTTTATTATTTAGTACATTATTTGCGTGTTATAGTTTTAACCGCACTGTTAAGCGTAAAGCCGACTAGTCTGGTGTTTCATTGCATAAATTAATCGATCCTGTCGGGGCGTGGCTGGAGATGGGACTTGCAAGTGGAGTATCTCTTTATTTATTTAGTTATTTAAATGAGATCCTAGCTAATTATTTGGAAGCTCGATTAGCTACGGTTGTCGCCACTGATGCGTTCCCACTTTTTTAGCTCTCTTCTTTATGGTCACCCTTGTGTCAAACGGAACTCACTTCGGACTGTGAGCTTACTCGTGAAATCGTCAAGAAAATCAAAGTCGTAAGTAATTCACTTCTTCATTGCCCTACCAACTTAATTCGAGCTTAATTTCGCTTTCTGCTTAGAGACTCAATGATCTCTGTCCGGATTTGAAACGAGGGCAGAAACGACCGCTTGAGTCAAACTCTCCTGAATTTCAGGCTAAGAGGGATGAGTTTGCAAATTCGTCCACTATCGTCGATGTCCATTTCAGAGCTCTAGCTGATGTTATAAGTAAACTTGAAGCCAATGCTAATGCTCTCACTCCTTCTCAAAAGAGTCGTGGTTCAGCTCTTACTCGACGTCTTGATGCTCTTTTTGAGACAAATTAAAGTGCCTTTTAGTGCTATTCCTCCTCGCCCGGTCTCGCTATGTCCCCATCATGACAGTTTCTGCATAGATTTGTCCACGGATTACCAATTTTTCACTCCCCATCCTCTTATAAGTGGCCATTTACCAGCGTATTCTTATGTATACACCCCCCACCCCCACCTCCCTTCACATATGCATTCACCAATTGTAAAGCACACGTTAAGTCTTATGTACGTTTTTCATTTCCCACTTTGTGTATGCCGGCTACAAGTCCCCTATTTCAATGTGCCTTGTTGTCATTTGAGTTATTTTTGTAGCAAATGTTTTTTCTTCTTACAATAAAATCTTTACAAGCACTTTGTTTACCCCTTGTATTTGTATGCATGCGTTCTTTTTAAATAATTTGAAGTTTTTTCATTGGAATTATTTACATATTCCCACGTGATTGTCATTTATCGAGTGAGTATGTCCACTGGCATGCTTCTGGCAAAGTGGAATATGCCACATGGTGAAGCATTTGATGACAACCATCTGTGGCGTGACTCCTTTGTATGCGTTGCCCGGTTGAATATTAGAACCGTTTGTGCCTACTCGTCTCTGTGCAAAGTCAGGGATCATAGATTTAATATCCATCAGGCCAAACATCGTTTGAGTGGCATGGCCATAACCACTCAATCTCATTCTTACCCTGAATGGTGGACGTGGTGGTGGGGGGGGGGGGGGGGNGGGGGGGGGTGGCGTGGGTTTGGGGGCTATGTTGTGTATAGAGTACTACGGGCTAAAAAAGAATTGCTTCTGCGTGGGCGGTAGACAGTGTCCGGAAATAACTATTGCCTAGTTGACAGGCCAGTGTGCTTTTTTACGGAAAGTGATTTTTAATTTCGGTGACGCCGGTTGCAAATGGCCGTAGGAGATGATGCTTTCAATCCTTTTCCGTATTTTGTTACTGGCATAGTTTGATCAAAACATTTTTTGCCTTCTAAGTTGAATTGGATTTTCGTTTGATTGTCTGTAATTTTTGGAGTTTTCGAAATCGAGCCTAATAAGGAGTGCGGTTTTTTTATTTCCACTTCAGCTCTCGTCATCACTTTACCCAATGCCTATTGCCAGATTAATTTTCACTGTTAACCGATTCCTAATATCAATTTCCCCGTTATATAATACTTTGTATGTTTTTAAAACTTGAGTCAACATTTCATGAAATTACCCTTCTTTGGCTTTGAATTTGATTTTTCTACTGAGATACTATCTGTGAGTTAGCTCGACCTTTCTTTGTTCGTTTCGCTATCTAAAGATTCATTGTGAGCTTAATCCTGTTGACCTCGACTGACAGCAACGCTGGATACTCGGTGTTTCTAGTCTGAGTCGATTTTGCTTGCCATTATCGATCAAGAAGTCAGTTTGGCTCAACTAGGCTGTCTGCGATTCACATTGGTATATGTCTATCTTGATTTCTTCGAAATCACTTCACACACGCCACTATGACGCTACCGTACCACTTTTTTCTGGCTTGCAACACTCAGACTTTCTATCCACCTATCAATCGAAATTGGTTCAACTGCCTATCTGACCTCTACTCTTACGTCAGCAAATCTGGCGTCACCTACCAATCAAGCAGAATAAAATTGGTCTATTACATTCAAGGGGGCGTCAGAAATGCGGCAGTTTTTGGCAATAAACTTTCGGCCTTTGTTTACACGCTGAGTTAATCTAATTTCCTGATTCTATTGTAATTAGCACTCAATTAAAGCAGATCCATTCAATCGACCGGCACTTTGATCGATGAATTTGCAGCTTAATTATTGTCCCTTTTATTTAGTTGGGTGCAAAGTAAAGTTGCGCATTTATTTCATACAAGAACTTAGTTTAATCATTTTCCACTTGCCTGCTATGTTTTGTGGAGAAGGTGTGTTAGTCGTATTCTTTTATTCCTTTCATTAATCACTCTGCTTTCGCGTGGTTCTATTCCTTTCCGGAAATATTTCTTCTGGGAAAATAATAGTTTTACTTCATTAATTGGATGCTACAAATTTCCCCACTACGAACTGCGCGAAGTCGGACAAACGAATGTGGAATCGCATGTGCCGATCTTCACAAAGTAGTTTTTGTGAAATTTCAGCTAATATCCACCCTGTTGATTATATTTTTAAATGAAATTTAGTTATTGCACTTTGTGATCAGAATTTTTGGAAAATGCGCATTTGTGACAAGTGGGATAAAACTGGAATTCGCACAAAGTTAACTTCTTCCTCATCACCAAAACACTAGCACTCTTAGATGAGATAACTATTCGAGAAAGATCATACCGAGGGGTTATTGTTACGTAGTCATTGACAACTATGCTTTGAAATTATCCATTTTACCGATTTTTTCGCGACAGTCGCTTCTCTTCACATTAGCTCTCTATTTGGTAATGAAATTTTGTTTATAAGGTTTGGTACGATGGATGACTTCCAACCAGTTCCAAATCCATACGTAAATGGAGATTCTCGCGGAGGCTCTAAGCAGCTCCCTCTAATTACTTTTGGTGCTGAATTTAGTCTTGTAGATGCTTCTTTCTGTGAAATTAATTGTTGTGTTTTATAAGCCGAGATGCTAGTTGTAATATAAATTAATGGAATGTGTATTTTCCTTTCTTCTGACTTATTGATCTCTCCATTTTTCTTTGTTTTAGATTTTTCAGTGTGTGTGCCACATCAAATATGCGAGTTATTATTCAGAAAGTTAAAAGGGCCTCCGTTCACGGTAAGCCACTTCCTTTTGTGCTCTTTTCTGTCTCTCTTTTATTCCTAACAATTGGGGGGGGGGGGGGGGGGGGGGGGGGGGGGGGGGGGGGGNGGGGGGAGGTGGGGTGGGGTGGGGTGGCATTTTTTCAAGCCGATCACTATTTCACTGGAAGAATGCCCTAATAGATTTTCACATAAACTTTATTGCTGCAATAAGGCTTGAGGGAATAATGCGATTTAAAATTCCATTGGCGCGAATAGGCAGCATAACTTCACTAAGCAATTTCTTCAAAGGAGTGCCCTCCATTCAGTGTCTAATTTTAAAAACTCCCCATTAGTAAACGGTAAATATATTTAAAATTGGATGTCAATTTCAAATGCCTGGCAGTCTCTAGAGGGCATACCTGATATGTTCTCTTGTAATATGATTAGTTTTGTTTGCTTGCAACGCACCCCCTATTGCAAGCTTATCTTTTGCGCATCAATCGGATCTTTACCCCAAAAACATCAGCTGGCTCTCCCTCTCTCTCCCCATTCATTCCCATTTTGTGCAGAGAACGCCCACTTTCATTCCAATTGGGTGGGGAATGTGGAAGAATGTGTGCCAAGATGACACTGGGATATGGTACACTTCCTGCGAAATAATAAACTTGCTATCACATTCCAAAGAACAATTATTTTAATAGTGCTTTAATGCTGCAAGAACCGTTGGAGGGTGTCCGTTCTGTTGTTATTGGGATCTTTTTTTAGATTGTATTTTATGCTTTACGAGTCACATTTCACGTTGGTTATGGAACCGTGTTGTTGTTGTCCAAACTAATTTGCGGCATATTTTTTTAAGGTGAGCGTCCGTGTCTGTTCGTGCGTTTCTTCACATCGCAGGTAGAGAGCTTTCAGACTTTACCGGAGATTTCTTATTCTATTTGTTCAATTGGTTGACCAATGTGTGAAAATTCAATTAAGGGTCAATCTATACATCGGATTTGATATTGCTATAGTAGGTTCGAATCCTGGCTTGCTCGCAACTTGTCACCCATTGCTTGGGGTGTGCGATAGACTTACCTCCACGTGGTGCACGTGGTGGCATACTCATACGGCGAAAAAGTCTATTAACCGGCAGTTGACTTCAGACTCCAAACTACCATCACCCCACTGTATGTCAAATTCGACTACTTCAACCGTACTCACCTCCCCTTTTTTCTACCTTTGTGTTTGTCTCTTACATCTTTGAATCACTCTTCTGTTCCCCCCCCCCCCCCCCCTCCGTGAAGCCTGAAGTCAACTAAAGGGCTAATGATGACCATCAAGACGCCTGCCATTTGATATTAATAAATATATTGCCATAGTACTGAGATTTTTCGCCTAAGTTCGCACTTTTGCAATAAGCTAGAGACTTCATTTGATACTATCCACCTTATCGGTTCATAATTGCAATGGAAGTTAAGGATGCTCTTCTATTTTAAAGTTTTGTTGATCTCTATAATTCTATTACCAATTTGCTAGAAAGTGCTGAGTTTTAACTGACAAGCCGAGTTTATCAACAAGTCAATAAAGTAATCATCGCGTTCACGAGCATGAAATCAATTATCAGAAAGACAATATAAATTTCCTGAACTTTTTGGACTCCGTAAGGGACATGAATTAAGGCCCTTATGGACGCCTTTTGATGCCTTAACTTTAACGTGTGTCTGACCCCCCCCCCCCCCCCCCCCCCCCCCCCCCACCCCCCTCCTTGCAATCCCTATGGATCTATTGCACTATTTCAAAGGCGTGATTTCGTCTTTCTGTCGGTGGCAATTCAACTACTTTTGTTGGTAGATGATGATGATGACCATGCTACTTGTTGAGCTTAATGAGGAATTACAGTTGATGCTGGCACAGCAACAACAGAGAACCACCGTTTTCAGAGAGATATCCAGTACGTAGAATTGAGAGTAAGTCGGTTCTTATGAAACACCAACGATTAGAAATTGAGGGAGAGCGCGTGGAAGAGGAAAAAACCGAAGTGAGAAGGAGGAATGAGACCAGTCGTTGTATTTGGCCAGGCGAAATGCAAGTTGTCGAGAAAAGAGTCCAGCACAAGTTTCCCATTGGAGTGTTTACTCCAAGGGCGTTTGATTGAAACAGTTCAAGAAAGTGCGAAAGCAAGCGCGATTTGTTTTCAAGATGAATTAAATCAGTTCTGCACAAGGAGGGCTTGCAATTTTCACTTTTGCTGAGGCCTTTACTGCTGTATCAAATTGCTTCACCTTCTGCTTAGGTCATTCAGTCCCTGTCGTTAAAAGGTCGAACCACAATTTCCTTTTGTTTTTTTCGTTGAGGGGGTTAACCAATCCCGAGAGAGTGATCGACGCTTACTCTCCAAAATTTGAAGCCGACCTTCCATTACCGTACTGGGGCTGAAGATTTTGTTGGCATTTTAGGCTTACAATTCAAGGCACAATTGCAGGAGATTACTAAGTAATGCCTGCTTTTACATGTTCTCTTCTTCCATTCTTTTCTTCCCGACGATTCTTGCATTAATATTTCGGGACTTCATTTTCGGTGTTGGGCGTTTTTATGTGAAAATTAGGCCTTACTCGGCGGTATAATTACTTTGCCTTGTAGAAGAGGTTGTCTAATGAGTTAACAGCAAATCGGGAGTAAGAGTTTAGACGGCCTTTCTTTTTTCATTCATTCAACGAATAAATACGTTGGATAGCAATGGCACATGGTGGAGAGATTTCATGAATTCTTTAAAATGTCGCCTTTCTAATCGGAAGCAGGAAGTAGTACTAGCTGTATATCTTGAATGGAATAAAAGTCCCTCCAATGTCTTCCATCGTCGAGATGCGTCCCATTTGCACCGCGTTCTTCCAAGTAGTAGTAGTACTTCAAGTTGACAACAAAATGAACATAATTTTGTATGTGGCAAAAAAGATGCAATTTGAACGGATTTTTGTTTTGAATAGACGTATATTAGTGACCGATTTCAGAAAATTGGGAATTTTATTCTATACTTATACTCTCTCTCTTCCTCCCTCATGCAAAAGCGTTCAGGTTCCGCCTTGACAATTAGCCCAAAATGAGCCATTTAATGTCATGTCGTTTTTTTTCTATGACGCAAGGAGTTCACGTTCGCCTTCTTTACTAATATTTATATCAAATGGCAGGCGTTTTGATAGTTATCATTAGCCCCATAGCTGACTTCGAACTTCACAGAAGGGAGACACATCAAAATGAACCGTTCGACTGATGTAAAAGAGCCAGACACAAAAGTAGTAAAAAAGGTGAATTGAGTACTGTGGAAGTAGTCGAATATGTCATAGAGTGGGGTGATGGTAGTTTGAAGTGAGAAGTCAACTGCCGGTTAATAGACTTGCTTGCCGTATGAATATACATTGCCCAGGATGCACCACGTGGAGATAAGTCTATCGCACACCCCTCTTTACTAATATGGAACGCTGACATGATATCTCTCAAGGCCAGAAGAAGTGGTGCCACACAAAGTTTTCACTTGTCCCCTTTCTACTAGAGCTGAATACGTTTTGCAGCCTTGTCTAATTTGGACTAAAATGCCAATCCCAAATTCACTTTCTCATATCCGCTCCTTTGATGAGTGCACAATGCACGCGCATTTTATTGGCATTATTGTCCACTTTTTTAAAAGTGTCTTTTTTCCAATTTCCTATTGTCTTTGGACCGTCCATATTTTCTGTTCTTGGAAATGTGTCGCTGAGACAGTAGGGGCTCTTTCAGGAGATATCAGTGTATCTGTTTTCAAAGTTCTTCAGAGCTCTAATTGTGGAGAGACGATAGAGAGGGAGGGAGAGAGAGGCTGCCAACAGGTGATGGCATTGAAGGGAGGAGATTGCCTTTATTTGTACTGCACTTCTTTCTAAGCTGCACCTAATTAATTGTTTTTTTTGCTGTAGATTTAACCGATTATTTATCGGTCTTTTTACCTCCTAATTGATAGTTTAGAATGTACTAATATTATTCCAGCAGTGTTGAAGGGCTCTATGCGCAGTAGACTTGCTGCTTTAAGCATAAAATTTCACGCTCACACATGCTGGTATTCGTTTTGATATCCTTTTTAATATTTTAGTCGATGGTGAGCTGGTAAGTGAAATTGGCCGTGGTTTGATGGTTCTTGTTGGTATTTCGCACGACGATGAAGAGAAGGACCTCGTCTACATGTAAGCAGTTATTTCTCTCCCAATTCTCTCCTATTCCTCACCATGCCTTCTCATTAACCCCCTCCCCCTCCTCCTCCTCCTCCTCGTCCTCGTCCTCCCTCCTTTCCGACATTTTAGGGCACGGAAGATAGTGAACTTGCGGATATTTGACGACCAGGCCAAGCAGAAGAGATGGGACAAGAGTATTAAAGACGTTGATGGTGAAGTTCTTTGTGTTTCACAGGTACTGTTTCCTTAACAAGTAATAAAAGTGCGAAAAAGCCTGTGCCCCCCCCCCTCCCCCCC